TCTAATCTAATTTCGCGGTCAGCCTCGCTGCCGGCCGAGTTCGGTATTAATCGAACGATGGCGGGGGGGAATAAAAAATTCCGTAGTATCCGCGATAAACTAGTTTCCAAGGTGTCGGTCGGCTCGCGAACCACGGCACGTTTAATTTGCGCGCGGCAGCTAATCAACTTTCTCCGGCACGGCATCAGCGGTAACATAAATTTCGTTTCAGCCCCTCGTGGCCGGCTGAACCGTTCATAAAATATATACCAGCGACACTTTAACGATCCCCGCTTTAAATTATTCGAAAAGAATATAATTAATGCGTCGAATTTGGTCTGGCCATAGTTTTCCAGTCCGCGGATGATGCCGCGATAATGGGAAAGCGTGTAAGCTCGTACCAAGTATCACCGGCGACCGATCTTATCGTCAATTAATTGCCACCGTGTAAAATAGCATGTCCCGCGTAATATATTTACACGTTCTCATTAACTCGCGCGAATCACACATCATTCCGGAACGGTAATTTAACCCGTTCACATCGGGGATGATAGTCCGCTATAAGATTTCATTCTTGTGCGACATTTCATGAATTTATTGTTAGGGCTCTGAATATATAGCACCGAATTCAAGCTAGCGTACCGTTATGCGAGGGTTGCTCCCTATCCCCGATGAAATAAGATACCCGAATTAGGTGCTGCAACTGGAGCAGCGCTAATTAGTCTTCGTTCATGATGAATAAGGGATTAATAACGACGCGGTCGTGTTTCATCGGTTTTTCGAGACGTTACCAGAGAATGTTTAAACATTTACTACACGATAGACAGGAATGAAGGCGGTGTATCGGTATCTTTCTCTCGGATCGTTATATTTAATCGCGTCTGATCAACGTCGTCTAATTCTACTCGCAGCGTATATTAACAGCGTGACGCCGGCATTCCATAACGCGGCATATAACGAGGAACAGACATGCCTCGTAACGTTATCCCGCATAAACACGACTTAAAGCAAATGCATCGAGCAATATTCAGACGCCTATGTTTCTACCACTGCATCTAAACGTCGAACCTAATTACCCGAGAAGCATTTCAACGCGCTAATTATCATCCACTCGAGTCCTTTCCCCGACACATCTATCCCCGATCAACAAGATCGAAAAACTGTCCGCGGGATTCCATTAAAAAACAATCAAGCCGCGGAATTCCTAGCGCAACGCAATTGTCCCGCCATCGTGAGATTAATTCCTTCCGAAGGATCGGACGTGCGGCGAAAGAGGCCAGTTGTAAATCAGACCGAGGATTAACATTCTCGTTGCGCGGTATCAGGAGGGATCAATCAGATGTTAATGTGGCCAGGAAGGAAATCCCGAAAGAAACTGGAAAGGAACACGCTCGCGCGCCGATCGCGTGAAGGTTATCGCGAGCGAGAGGAAGTACATCTGCGTCCCTGTTTGTCGCTTATACCGTTTCGAGATTATCGCTCGCACGAGAGTTCGCGCGAGCCGCCCCGTTCCCCCTCGCCCTCCGGTGCATAATGTATGTACGCAATATACCGGTTCGGGGCTAGATAATTGCCAAATGCCGTGACGCGTGTACACCGTGCCGCGTTGCACGTTGAAAATGAATCTATCTCGACGAGCGCTGCACAATACCGAGGCTCCCGCCAGTGTACACGCATGTCTTTCGCTATCTGATCTCGTCGAGATCATGGGAATCGTTTCAGATCGATATCTGAGCGAACGCGAAGTTGGAATGCGCGGAGCTACGGGAATAGAGACAGCGATCTTTCGTGATGATTCTTGTCCCTTTATGTCGTCGAGCGTGATAAGTCACTCTTTATCATTGTACCATGAATCTCGGTTTTGTAGTTTTCGCTGAATCATTTTTGGTAGATTGATTTCCAGTAGAAAAGTTACTCATCGGTTAGACGCGTTCGATATCGCAGAATAAATATCGCTGTTTATACATGGTTAAACGAGGGATATCGTTCGGTAGTTCGTTAATTGAAAGTTCGAATAATCACATCATCCCCGATTAAACAACGAAAAGTGTGGCCGACGTCGGGGCGATTGTAGTACCTGAAACTTGCAGAGCTTCGCGACAGTCCGATAATATTTCTCTTGGAGACTCTTTTTCCTTATAGCTCCAGCGGCCAGATAATTGAAAGAGTACACAGGAACTGTTATGTTCCCATTCCGTTTAAAAACCTGGCACTGATACACGCTGATTCCCCGGGAAAATACGTTTCTCCTTGGCGTGGTATTGTTCTTCGATAGAGAAACTACCATGCACGAAGCGGGACGGAACGATATCGTTACAATGGTACGTTCCTGTAATGTTTCCGCGGAACCGTGTACCGTACGTTCGAAAGAATCATGTTATATCCGCCCTGTTCGAAGCTGTTTCGAACAAACTCGATACTTGCGGCTGGAAGTATAACGCGCTTTAATGGGACGAACTGCGGCAGTGCGTCATGCAGTTTCCTAATTCCTTAAACACTTGCCATCTTATTTCTTTCGCAAGCAACAGAGTCGCTCGGTTGAATATTTACTTGAACAGTCGCTCAGAATAGCACGGCTCGAATCAACGGAAAGTGAAACTCTAATATTACAAACGGACTGTGCATTCTTGTATCTTAACGTCGTAATTCGCTGGTTAGTGAATTCGTTGGATATTTTTATCTCTGCTGAAAGTATATCTCGTTTCAATTGTCGTCTTTGTACATTTATAACTTGTGGAGGTCTTTGTGAGTTACACAATAGAAATTTTAATACAGTTCGATTTCCTGTGAATTATTGGAACTTCTAATATCAGATTACATCTGTCAATAAATTTGTATCCAACCAAATCAGAATTAGGCCAGGGTGAGAACTGCTCCGAGCTACTAGGTCTCCGCTGGTCCTCCTAATAAATCCTTCGCAACAGCTGAGAATTAATCGACGATTAGATTGGAAATGAATATTCCCGAAACAGCCGGATCCACGAACGAAAACTGTTTTCCGTTGATCGAGGTGTCTCCGGACGTGTGGACGGGCAACGCGCGTCCATTGAACGCGCGGAATCTCGGCACGCCAGGATCGGGATAGCGGCTCGTAGGCGCGATTTAATTAAGATACGAACAATCCAGGCCAGAAGAAGTCAGCCGGATTCGATGGAAATATCGGAAAATATGGGGATTATGCGAGGCTCGGCCTCGTCAACGGTTATATACCGGTGCCATTAGCCCGACGCCCGTTACCAGCGGTGCATTATAATAACCGGCATTCTTAAGATCGCGATGCAAATACCGCGGAGATAATTAAACACGCCGCCGACCGGCTCCCCCGATGAAACGCACTATCCACGGGGAAAAGAAACCGTGTTACCACGTGAAATCCTCTCGGTCAGCGAACGTTCAGGCGAGCCGGTCTCGCGCGGAAGAAGTTCTTTGAACCCTTAATCATTACGAGTCACGCCGTCGCGCAATGAAAAAAAGACGCGAAAGATGAGGGCACGAAGAGAGAGAGAGAGAGAGAAAAAATGGGGAAATTAATTCGCGGAGGTCGGCTCACAGGAGAGCGAGCGAATGCTTAGTATCGTGTTTTATAAACCCTTTAATTGCCACGTTCGGACACGTAGCGGCACGGCGTAACACGCCGCCGCCCCCGGTTTCATTTATGCGGACGTATCCGCTGTCACGTTCCCGGAGGCGTGCGAAATTGCGATGATTAAAATGTACTCGGCCGGCGTGCATCAGCATGCTGCTTCCCTCTTCTCCCTTTCATTCGGTGTTTTTCATTTACCCGGAAGGAATACGGCGCGCGGATAACGAACACCGAGCCCGCGGAATTTGTTTAATTGAACCCGTGAGAAATAAATTTCGCGACCAGCGGAGGGGAGGGGCGCAGCCGCGTTACCGTGCGCATTCTTATTCGTGCGCGTCGATTTTTGGCCCGGCGCGGCCTCGTAACTTTTAATGGAAGATTGCTATGTTTTAGCGGCACGCTAGATTTTTAGGGTTGCACGGGGTTTTTAGTGTCTCCCGGGGTGAAACGAGTATTATTTCCGTGTCGTAATTTACAGTCTCACTGGGTTATTCTGCAGTGAAGATGTTTTTAGTCGCAGGTGGTCTTTGAACAGGTTTTTCTCTCTTTTCTCGATGCTTCGATTCTTCTTAACGCGGAGTGTCGCGGTGGAGTGAAACGGTAATTGCGTTTTGCGTTTATGAGATTGTTGGCTAGTTGTTTGAATCCGTATTTCAATTAGGGAGATTTATTCATGGTTTCGTGCACGGTTCGCGCTGAGGACGATAGTAAAGTTTGTTACCCATTCAATACGCGATGGCTATTATCAGGATAGATGTTTCAGGCACCTGATCAGTAGCCTTGAGAGATGTTGCCAGCCAGAAACTACGGGATACGCTTGTCTTGCTAACTAGGCAAACTTCGGTAGTTAGAAAACTGTAATGTACACGAATACTCGCCGAGGACGGATTAATCCAAGTTTAACGAGGCTTAACTGGCTGCCGCATTACCGAAACGAAATTCGCGAAGTTTAAGTTATTGGTTAGCTGCATGCAGTTATGGTTTCCATTCCAAACACATTGTTACCATCGCGTTACGAAGCGGGTTCAAGCTGTCAGTCACTTCAGCTCCTGCGAATTCCATTCCTCGCTCGACCATCGTTCTTCTTCCGCTTGTGCTCTCGAATCGATGCTTCGATTCAAACTATTAGACCCAAGAAACAGACACGAAACGTTCGATACGATCGAATGATACAGTTAGTTTCCAATGTTAACTAGCGCAAAGTAAAACGCGAAAGATTTCAATTGGAAGTCATCGATCGATATTCTCATCCCCCGTTGGCGACACAATAGCAACACGTTCGCGTTCAAAAGCTGCATAGATCGACGAGATTATCGCGGTCCCCAGTGTCAAGGGGGTCTCGCGACAGGTAAGGAGCAGACGTTAGTCTCGGAGGACAAGCTGCCAGAATAGTTTGCCTCGGTTACATATACACACGATTAATTCTCCGTTGTTGCAGTCGGCGCGATGTTCGTGTGCATGCTGTACGCCGTCCTGTTCCTGAAGCTCTGGTCTTACGTGCAAGTGAACATGTGGTGTCGGCTGAGCAGTCGAAGAAAGGCAACGAGCCAGGGCAGAATGCGACGCCAGTCCCTGTCGTACAACAATTTGCAGTGTAAGTACACAATGCTTCCGCGTTAATGCCCTCTCCAGACGCCGCCCCGTCGGCCGCCGCATTCCCTGTTCGTCTCGCACGCGTGTGCGCTCGGCCGTGCTCGAAACGCGCGCACACGCTCGGTATCGGTTTATCGTCGCGTAATAACGCGTCGGGGAACGGTTCGTTTCAGTCGGTTCCGATCGACCACGTCAATTTATCGCGGCCGAACACACCGTGCAACGTTATTTTCCAAACGCGTGTAACGCGCACCGCGAATATTTTCGATATACACGCGTTCCGCATTCCCTTTACATCGTTTCGCGCTAGAATGCACAGACCCCTAATTTCACGCGCGCACCGGAAAACGTTTGTCTACGACACCACCGCGGTTTTTGTGCATTTTTTCCCCATCCCACCCTTTCTGTGTACTGGAAGAATATGTTATTTCGGTTCCCCGCGGTGCGGCGCGGCGGATTAAACGACGCGAGGGACAAAGGATTCCTGGAGGCTTTCACGGCAATCGCGGATTATGGATTAGTAGGTTTTGCGATATTTGCTATCATCGCGAAAGAGGAGGCTGCTTGAATTATGCAGCCGTTTTATCCGCTATAATGATCTCGCGGTTAAACCTCTTTTGATCTGCCTTTGAATTAATGATCGTTTTGTAATGGCAGGAACGGAGATAGCTTCTATATTATGAAAACGAGGTTTTCTAGTTTCACTGAAATTCTGATTGTAATTTTGAACGATTTCGTTCAAATGGCGCCGGCACTCCACTGCTTTTAAAGTCGACACGAATATTTCAGTGGCTATGTATAATTTCGGAATTTTTGTCTAACATCTCGATGTATTATAAATCGATCTTTCGCCTTGATTCGAGGCGGAGAGTACTTCGGTGATATTTCTATTGAGTCTGACTAATTTTATAGACTCGATGCGGCGTGAATAATTCACAGTGTGCAGAACAACTTCTGTCAATCCGAAAGTTCTAGGACGCTTACATAGTTGCATGATTAACATCGACATAAAACAAAGTTTCTCTACTTGTCTCGCGCTCGGCGTTCCTCTCTAATTTAATGATATCTAGCTCGGTTAAATATTACATCGCGTTTCGCCTGTCACTTTAGAGTGTGTTCGCGGATCCCGCGTCAAATATTTTCTGTCGATTGCCGCATTAGTTACTCGCAGTTGTCACCAATTAATCGGGAAGGCGAATAACGTAACGGAACGGAGCCAGCGACCGATTCCTCGAAGTCTGGCTCGATTTATTGGAACGGGGGAGGCGTTTAATAAATTTATTCCGCCGGACAAGAAAGCGGACCGTAAATATTCGTCACGCGTCCTGGACTCTGACACGCATATACCTGTCTCCCCTAATGCACACGTACGGAACACGTTCTCCGAGCCTGAAATCCACTTCCCTCCGACTATACTTGCGACGGGATTCAAACTGACTGCGACTATTTCGACATGGAAATTCGCAGTTTCTACAACATGCAGAAGACAGTCCTATTCTGTGCTTGTTGCGATTCTACAAAAATGTGAAAGTATCTACAACCAACTCCCGAATCCTCTTTAAAAATTGACGAGTCTAAAAATCCTCGCCTTGAGAATCTTCCAAATCCCAGGAGGCGTTGGAACGTTGTAGAATTATTAACAATCTCGGAACCATCGAAAGCTAAAGCATGAAACACCAATGAGCCCGAAAGTTCCTGAGTTTCGAATTATTTGAAACTGGCGATTGTTTGAAAACTAGTTCTATCTGAACACAGTCCGAATCTACCTGAAAGTCCCGTGTTCATAGGTTCATTTACTCCCGTAGAATACATTCCGTCGCTGTGTAAAGCTATTGGATCACTTCTGAAGTTGCTCACGTATTGTCACTGGCTAGCACGACGCGTGCACACATCCCTGCTCTGCCAGTTCTCCGCGGGCACGTAGCCACAGTGGAAGAGGCGAATAATTTCCACCCAATTTGAACTCCCGATCAGCCTCGCCTCTGTTTCCGGGTATTGGATAGTGGTCTGCCGGTATATCGATTATTCAGTCCCGGCGAAGTCAAATTATACCGGCGACCTTTTCTCCGATAAACTCACCGCATTGAATATTAACCCTTTTCTCTTTTTCCCGCGTTCCTCGCGGTCTCTGTGCCCATCCCCCTCGGAGATCTCTCGAGGAACGAGAACTACGAGGGCCGTATGTATCATTTTGACGCGTTATGGCCCTCTCCCGTGCAGTGGAAATCTGTTACAACGCCTATAGTTCCTCGGTGTCGCTTTAGAGGAGCTTGGAGACTTCTCCAGAGCACTCCAGGAAAAATCAAACAGAATTTTAAATCAATTTCGCGCGACTTATCGCTCCATTTCAAGAATTTCCTCTGAATTTTTCATCCGGCTCTCCTTTCTTGCCGTACAATTTTCATCCGCAGTCCGCCGGGCTTCCGAATTCTTCCTACTTCAAATTTTTTCAAAGAAATTTCATCCATCTACCTTTATCCTCTAAACCTTTCCTATTTTTTCAATTCTTCCCTTACCACTTCATTTTTCTACCGCCGTTCCATTTACACAATTTTTTGTCCTGTTACAGTCAAAATATTCCGTTCGAAAATGTCATGGAAAAATTGTTAATCTACACGTTTCCACTCTACGAATAATATTTCGAACGTACGAATAAACCGAAGAACGAATTTCGGTGTAATATTCCTCTTCAATTTGAATTTTCGGCTCGAAACCCGAGGTTCTACTTACGTCTTAATATCTCGGACGTCCGCTCTTATCCTACTTTAATTCCGGTCTCGAAAACCGTCGCAGAATCCCGGGATCCCCCGATGACAGTGTACAGAGTGCGGCTGGTAGGTACACAGGCCGCGATGTCTGTTTGCAAATTCGGTTCGAGTCCATTTCGTCGTATCAGAGGACCCCTCGTTTCCTGAGTTCTTGTTCACGGTCCGGGCTCGTTAATCAATGCCAAGATAATGCGGTAGGAAGACATAATGGGGTATGCATGCGAATGGTGCATCGCTGGGCTGATACCTTTCCCGGAAGTATCCGGGAACAGATGTTGAGGGATGGTCGAACTGTAAGTATCACGAGGCGGGATAATGTAGTCATTGAAACGTTCGGCCTCCTGTTTCTCGTTGACCGAAACGAGGCTAGGCTTCAACTCTTGAATACGGTTACGTTCCTCCTAGACGAAAGATCGCCGGCTAGTGTCAGCCGCCGGGGAATAATTAGCAATTCACTCGAAACTATCAAGTTTGTTCTGAAACGTCGACGATAATTAACCGGTATAAATTTCATGTTATTCGATAGCGTGGCTCGATAGGAACATGTTTCATGATTCGCATTTTTCTAATAAACGAAGCTCCAGTTTTCGATAGAAATGTATTCATGGGAATAAATGGAACGATAGTTTCGCTGGATAATTTGTTTTCCAATACGTGTCTTAAATAATTGGTTAATTACCGGTGACATCGTTTTTCGTCGTTATTGAATTTACCGTGGCGTGATAAAATTAGAAGGAATTGTGGAAATGTTTGCAGACAATTTAGTTATCGGGATAGAGGACAGAGTGGGTTGGTTACAACGCGCCGCGTAGAACACACGGCGCAGCGATCGATCAAATCGATCGGCTCGTTTGATCGACGAGTACGGGTTTCCTAATCCCGCGGCATGATCACAAATAATCCTCCCCGTAGTATGTGCTGTGTAATTTCCGTGCTCCCCATGGCCTCTTCAAATGCGCAACGTATTATTGCATCCTATAATGACGATGCTGCCCTCCCCAGCGGAATTAGTCACGCATTCTACTCATTTTCCTCGAAGCTTTTCGTCGTTTCGTGTCGTCTTATCGATCGGATCGCTAATCGAGTTCAAGCCCTCTCTACCCCTTCCGCCGCGTTACTTTCAATAAGCAATCTCCTTTAATGTCTCTCTTAGCAAATGGGGAAAGACCTTTCGGCCGGGAACCAGTCACGAATTCTACCGATTCCATGGAAATGAACACCGGATGAAAATAATGCGGCGCGTCGACTCGAGAATGGAAATATGTACCGATAGCCGAGACCTCTAATCGATGAAGCTTCGAAAGCGTCTCTGAAACAGCCATCGAGTCTATTTTCGGCGGTAAAACTAATGGACGTCTGCTCTCCAGTCAGAACTCGTCTAGCTGACATTTCGGAGAGTAAGAATCGTGGAAACTCCTTTTTCGATGCATTTAAGTAACTACCGGTCGACGAAGTGCTCACTGAAATTCCTTGGAGCCGGAATTTCGAATGTTAGCTATTATAACGACGAAACACTGTTATCGGAAATTTGATTTTAGATTCGCGTCGTCTGAAAGATTCGATTCTCCGAATAATGCCGCGACGTCGCTTCGCCGCGCTCCACGAAATTATTCTTATACGACGAGGAGGCCTGACGCTGAAACGGGACAACTGTTATTCAGCAGACGTGCCTCGCGGTTATGGTTTCGCGTGCCTCGCTGCCATTCGAGTGGGCGAGATCCTGGCGGACAGTCTTGTTGCTCCTCGGGGAAATATTTTTCGGTTGTACCCGCTACGAGGTATATTCATGCGCGATATTTTGGAAATTATTATCCCGACACCGGTGAATAATTCACGAGAGGCCTGGACGTTAATCGGGAGGTATGTAAAGTGTTTCGGTAATGTAGCGACCGTTGTCAACACGTTCCTTAACACCTTCGGGATGGTAAACGTGTCCGTTTATCTTGAAATTACCATTACCAACGAGTTGACTTTACATTTCAAAGAATCGAGTTTCAATCTCAAACAGTTTGAATTTTAAACGATCCAACTTTGCTCTTGAACCATTAGAATCTCAAACAATTGAGTTTCAGTTGTTAAATCTTTGAAATTTCGAACAATCGAACGTCACTTTTAAATCCGTTCGCATCGTTAACAAAATCTGCCTATCGTTCTATTTTCGACAGTCTGCTATTCTGTTTGAAATTTCTGTTCTCTTTTTTAACAACGTAATCACTGTTCCTCCGGCAAATTTCTTCCGGGGCTACGATCGCGCAGCCTCGCCCGTCTCGCAGTTTCGCTGACGTTTCTCAAAATCCCCATCATTTACGGTTTCAAATATTAGTACGATGTTAAACGCGGTGTCATATATCATAGCCGCGGGGAGAGAGGAAGATAGAGAGCGGTGGGTAGAGAGTCTAATGCCACTGTCGGACGAATTTCCCTCTAATTTATTACTCCGTTGACGTCCAACCTTTCATACTCCAAGTTCGCGGAAGCACCTACGCGTCGGAAATCTTCTTACGTGCCGGTATCACGAGCTTCGCAGCCCCGGCAAAGACCAGGAACCCGACAAGTTCGCACCCCTGTTCGAGGGTAGTTTCGAGATGGATGCGACCGAGATCAAGAGGGTAGGGCGTCTCTCGCCGAACGTGTAATTTCTAATTTTTTCCTCGCACCTTCGGCGAATCGGTAAATTAATGTACACCCTGCGACGTTTATTGCATCCCGAAATTAATTATCACTCGGATCTATAGGAAAGTTAGCGTGGCTCGTCCAAATTTATTTTCCGGCGAAGATTAATTCCTGCACACCGGTAACAGAGATGAAATACAGACGATAGAATAAATTAATCAACGGAATGCCGTAAGGTTCACGGTTTAATTTCGGGAAGTAACATGTCGAAAACAATTCGCGTTTCTTGTCCCGTCGATCCCGGTGCGCTACAATTTCGCAGCGGAATAATTGAAGCAATCGTTCCGTCCTCTCGTCAGACACGAATTCCCGGCCGCGTTTAGAGGCGCCGGGGCAAAATAATCAATTGGAAACAAAACAAGAAGCTGAAAGCGTGCGCGGCTAAGGATGAATCCTAAGTAAGAACAATTCGGCACTAATTAATAGATAAAGGATTACAGCAGTAAACGGGGGACGGATTTAGTTTGCAGGATTTTCGAATAATGGGAAGCGTAGGGACGGGCGACAGGGAGGCGAAACAAGAACGAGAGATCTAATTTTCGCGGACGGATCCGACGCCGAGCGAAGAAAGGAGTTTCCAATCAACTGCTGGTTTCAATAATTGTTTAAATCAATTGATAGGGGAATCGCGTACGCGGACAGCAGCCACGGCCCGACGCGACGCGACCCGACCCGACCCGACCCGACCCGACCCGATCCGATCCGGCCGAGCAGGAAAGTGTTCTGCAAACGACGGCTGCCGGGATTGGAAACGTCCCCGCGGCTAATGAATCACGAGCGTTTTCGAGGAGATCCGATGAAAACACCTTCAGTTTATCGGGCAAATAAATTGCTAGAATTAGATCTCCATGTCGCCGGGAAATTGTGGCCGACTGGTATCGAGACAGTTCGGGTCTGTTAGGCTCGGCTCGCTCGCTGTTCCGGGAAATTTACGAGTCCGCCGGATTGCCTTGTCGAAGATTGCAGCCAATCCTATCGCTCGGCGAGCCTTCCGTCTCTCTTGTACAGCTCAAGCTTAATTTGTGAGATTTCTCGTTCGCCTAGCGCGCGAGGATCCTCCCCTTTCGCCTTTGCCCTCTATTCTTCGCTTCTCCGTCAGCCAGCCGCTCTTTCCCCCCACTCCCTGTTGCCCCGCCATCCGTTTCACCTCTCGTATCGTCTTTTCTCCCCGTGTGCCGGGGACTCGTTACAATATATATGAACCCTCCGCGCGACGCCGCTGCCCCCGGCACAAAGGCGAAATTACGTCGATCCCCCAGACGCCTCTGAAGATTGAAAAAAATAGAAATTACTTGCTCCGTGAGCGGAACCGACCGTGAACCCCCTGTCCGCGTCCCGATCCCGCGTCGATCTCGGAACGGCACCTCTCCGACACGGGTGCCAACTTCCCGGGATTCCGGCCTTTGATGGCACCGCTTATCCTTTCTTCATGTCTCCGCCGCGCCGCTTTTCAAAGGCCTGACTTACGCGCAACTGCGAAAGTATTTCTTTCCCCAGCCTTTCCCCTAGGACGTGTTAATATTGAAATGTCAACCCTTTGATCGGCGCCCCTTCCCGGGGATCATTCATTTGCGTGGGATTTATTCAACTACGCGGCATCTTTGCGCTATGAATCGAAGATTGATTTAGAGAAGAACGTAACGGATCGACAGATCCGTTGTCGGTGAAGGTGTCCGCGGAAAAATCTTCGAAGACGCGCTCGGTCGACGATCGACGCGCAAAGGGCGATTAAACGACCGGCAACGGATGAAGTGTTAATTACTCGGTCGTCTAATGGAATCAATTAGTACCGAATAACTCGGCAAACAATCCGCATTCCGTTCACGCACGCTAAATGCGGCGTATTCGGAACTTTTCGCCGGGAGTTCGTCGGCCAAAAGATAGTTTCGCAGACCCCATTCACAATGGATCCGCAATACTTCACCCGGGCGGAACGAGAATTCCACGGGAAGCGCTCCGGATTTTAGCGATCGGCGCGAGCGTTCCGTTATTCGGTTGTCGGGAGAGGGGGGAAGGCGATTCTCTCTCGTCGATGCGTCTAATCCGTCGCCGGCGCTAGCAGGTAACTGATAGAATCCCCTCATTTATCCAAATCCGACGGATAATCCAATCTGGAATTCAAATAAGCTCCGTTGCGTCGGCTGTTACCGGGAGGAACAGGCCGACCCGGCCGGCTCGTTGCTGCGAACGGAACCAGGCCCGTCGAAACACCGTTGTGAACGCCGGAAATCGACGTCTCGCGAGCCGGGACCAGGGCCGAGCCGCGCCGCCGGGACGACGGACGTTCGGGAGACGCCTGGCGACGTTCCATGCACCCCCTGCCCCGTAATAAGTGCCGAAGAATTCGTCCAAATGAAATTCCTGCTGCCTCTTTTTCGTTTGTTCGAGCCCCTCCGCCTGCGACGCTTCTTCCCAGAGCCTTTCTTCGCCTTTCGTTGCCTCCTTTATGGCATACTTCGTGATTATTCCAGCGATCGCTGATTAGAACGTTCGCCGATCAGAATTTCTTTAGCGATCGGAGCTCGCGCTCGTTCCGGTGCGCGTTCCGCGCGTGGTTCGTCGATAAAAATTAAATGAATTTCCTCGGAGACTCGGCAGTAAACGAACACGGAAGAATTATATTGGAAAAATTAACGCGCCTCGTTGCAAACTGGAAACAGCCGGTGAAATTCAAATGTAGAGTGTCTGTCGTTCGAATAATTATCAGCTGCGCCCGTGTATTCCTCGCCGATATTGCCGGCATAACTTTTCGCGGGTGTTCAATACCCGACACGGAATTTCCTGTAAATGCGGCGTTCGTTGTTAATGCGCTCCGGGGCAAGATGATCCGGCGGCGCGAGAAACCGCGAGATCGCGAGGATTCCACGCGTTTCCGGCAATGGGGCGCGAACGAGCGCGCTGGAATTTTTTAATATGCGGCATTCGATCGCGCCCCATTTATTGGCACGTGAGCCGCTCGTCAGGATCAACAGGTGAAAAATATATTGATGTTTTTATTTGACTCGCAGTCACGGGCACACGGGCTGTCTCGAACTGTTGGAAGCAAATCCAAGAAATCGCTCAGAAGCATCCAGCCTTTGAGCTACCAAACTTTCTACTTAATTAGATACAATTTATCGTCTCTTTCTCTAGTAAATGCGAATAACGCGATAAACTTTCTCAATTTACAGCCACCCTAATGTCCACGAATAGGGGTGCGTATACGTTCGATTCCTACAACCAATAAGAAAGCGAACTGTGCGACGTTCGGACGACACAGGGGCCAGGAACTAATAATTTTCATCACCGTAGAGCAATCCGAAGTTTTATCGCGCGAGGGATCGAAGTTTAAATACTTTCTAACGTTTCCCCCCTTCCCTCCGCGCCGGAGAGATGAAACTATATCGTCCTACGTCCCGAGAGACGTCAAGCAGTGACTCTCGAGCCGAGGGAAGTAACTTCTCGGGTAGCTTTTCATCAAACTCCGTCTTGGCTTTCGGTTTTCGATTTTTGTTTCTTTCCCGGCGTTAAAGGCTGAAAGGGGTAAGCGCGAGAAAGGCGCCACGGCTTCCCTGGAATTCCTTGTTGCACGCCAGCCGCGTGTGATTCATCGCCGTAATTTGTTTTTTCCTCCACCTAATGCGGATACGATTCCTCTCGTTGCAGCTTCCAGCGCGAAACAAAACGGAGGCGAGGTCGATGACTCGAAGCACGACGTGGACGGCGTTCCCACGGCCTTGGTGCAATATCCGGACAACTTGAATCTCCGCGATCTTTACTACTACATACTGGCGCCCACGCTGTGCTACGAGCTGAATTTTCCACGGACGCAGCGGATTCGGAAAAGGTAAACGGAAACGATTATTTTTCAGCTACGCGAAGGGGAACTTAATTGAATGTTGCCGATGATTAGAAATAAGATGTTTCCTCGTTCCCGTTACATTTTCAGTGATCGTAAATTGGTTAATAAAATATCTCCGTTCGAATGACATTCTCGGTAATTAATAAGTAATTACCAGTTCGTCAGTTTCGAAATAGACAGAAATTCCCGGCGGAACGTAACGCAAAGTACAGTCGCGAACGCGAGTCGCATCTCGATAACCGTTCCCTGGGAGCAACTCGTACATAGGCGTACGCGTTCGTTTTCCCAAGAAAAGTAAAGCCCCTTCTTTTTCGCTCGGTTTCGGTGGCACACGCAGCGTTCGAAGGAAAACGGAGGGAAGACGGCAAAGTTGGGGAGCCGGGAGTGTTCGCGAAATTAGATTTAAGTGGGCTATTGTTGGGAAAATAGAAGAGGGTACGTTTGGATGGACTCGCCTCGGAGTGGGGGTGGTTACCGGGAAGGAAGGAGGGAGTCAGGGTTGATGTATTCCTTTCCGTGCTTCCGGCTGGTACTTCCGATTGTATCCGGAATCCCGGAGATTTTCATGGAACACTTTCTTCCGTCTACGCGGCTGTATTTTCGCGATGCATGCAGCCCTGGGTTTGTCGGAAAGTGCATCGTGTCTGTCTGGCCGACATTTCTTGCCACCGGCAGTTGTTCGCTTCGAAAATCCCCGGG